TGGGGGCAGCGGGGCGAGCTCGCCGCCGGCTCGGGACTGGGGGGCTTTCCCCGGGGGCGCACCCAGGCCCGCTCCGTTCCAGCCTTGCAGACTGGGCCTGCGTCCTGAAGTGACCTCAGCCTGACCTCGGCCAGCTGCTTGTGACCTTGGCCTGCCCCAGCACCCTTGCTCACTTCGGCGCGATCAGGATCCGAGAACACGCCTCATATCCCCTCCTCAGGGCTGAATCACGGCCGAGGGGTCGGCAGCGGGGAGGAGCGGGTAGGGCAGTGGCACAGGATGTGCTATTGACACCCCGCAGGAGGTGGCCAGTCCTGGGTGGATGAGTTGGGAGAAGTAGGCGCTGAGAGCCAGATCCCCAGGTAGGGCTGGGTGGTGCTCTGGCAGGCACTGATAGGGGCTTTTGCAGGCAGTGTTCCTGTCGTCGAAGTCAGGCTTGTCGCGGGGCCGGAAAGTGATTCTGTCAGCGCTGGGCATGCTGGCAGCAGGGGGTGCAGGGCTGGCTGTGGCTCTGCATTCTGCCGTGAGTGCCAGTGATCTGGAGCTGCACGCCCCCAGCTATCCGTGGTCCCACCGTGGCCTCCTCTCGTCCCTGGACCACACCAGGTGTGTGGCTGCCTGGGGAGTTTCTGGGTGGGCTGGGTTGGTTGGACTCCTTGGCACCGCTAATCCCTTTCCTCTCTTCAGCATCCGGAGGGGTTTCCAGGTGTACAAGCAGGTGTGCTCCTCCTGCCACAGCATGGACTACGTGGCTTACCGCCACCTGGTGGGCGTGTGCTACACAGAGGATGAAGCCAAGGCCCTGGCTGAGGAGGTGGGGACCTCAGCAGAGCACCCAATGATTGGGGCCCCTGCTGTGGCCCACAGCAGGGTTGTGATGGGGCTCTCGGTGGCAGGTGGAGGTTCAGGATGGCCCCAATGAGGATGGGGAGATGTTCATGCGGCCAGGGAAGCTGTCTGACTATTTCCCTAAACCATACCCCAATCCTGAGGCTGCACGAGCAGCGAATAATGGAGCACTGCCCCCTGACCTCAGCTACATCGTGCGAGCTAGGTACTTGGGCTGCCTGCAGGGTGGTGTGGGGAGGAGGGGAAGGTCTGCTGCTTGCGGGGGTGCTGAGGAGGCACCGATTTTGTCCCAGGCACGGTGGTGAGGACTACATCTTCTCCCTGCTCACGGGTTACTGCGAGCCACCCACTGGGGTGTCTCTGCGAGAAGGCCTCCACTTCAACCCCTATTTTCCTGGCCAGGCCATTGCCATGGCCCCACCCATCTACACTGAAGTCCTGGAGTTTGACGATGGTGAGAGGCTCCTACCCTGGGGTGGGCAAGCGGGGTCCTACTTTCCCCACTGCCAGAGCTGCTTCTCCTGTGCTTGTGGCCCCAGCAGGTCCTGCACCTTCCCTGGCCAGGGCACTCTGTGTCTGAGGAGGCTTATGTGCAGCCTTCAGGCCACGTGTGCTGGGTAGGGCTGGGGTCCCATCCCTTTTAAAGCTTTAGGCAGGAACCTGTCTCTGCCCCATGAGGAGGATGCTCTGAGGGCTACCCTAGGTTGGCCAGGGATCCTCACAGGCAACCCTTACCACTTCTTGGCCCAGGCACCCCAGCTACCATGTCCCAGGTAGCCAAGGACGTGTGCACCTTCCTCCGCTGGGCATCTGAGCCAGAGCATGACCATCGCAAACGCATGGGACTCAAGGTGAAAGGGCTGGGCCAGGGGGCACAGCGGGCTGGGCAGAGGGGCTGGGAGCTGGGCAGGGTCGTCTCTGCATCCCTCCTCTGAGCCTGCCTCGTCCCCAGATGTTGATGATGATGGGCTTGCTTTTGCCCTTGGTCTACGCCATGAAGCGGCATAAGTGGTCAGTTCTGAAGAGCCGGAAGCTGGCATATCGGCCGCCCAAGTGACTGCCCGGTGTCTCTGCTTGCTGTCCTGCCTGAACGGGTCCTCAAGCCAAGGAGCCACTCTGGGCCTATTCAGGCCTCAGCTGGACCTCTTGGCCAAGCCCCTCTTCTTCTCGGACAAGAGGGGAAGGGGCAGGAGACAGGGTTCTAGCTCCAGGTTGTTCAGCACCCATCATGGAAATAAATTAAGTTTCTCAACATACACATTTCAGCTATTGTATGATGGGAGTACAGGTGTGCAAGGGACCCTTGCCCTCAGAGCTCCAAGTAGTGTGCTGTGCTGTGTGGCCAGCATTACCCTGCACACTGCACGGACCATGGCTGGGAGTCCAGTCAGTACTGGATGTGGGACAGGAGGCAGAGAACTAGCCGTTAGAGAAGCAGCAGCATTCGTTGGAGCGGAGAGTACCTGGTCACAGGTGAAAAGGGCCTGGCTTGGCTGAACATAGTCCAAGGGCCCAGGAACCTGCTGGAGAAACCAGCCAATGTCAGTGTATCAGACCACTTAGCCTTCATCCTGAGGGCAGCAGGGACCCCTCAGTTGCATTTCAGCAGGGGAGGCCTGGTCTAAAGTACCAGCTGCAGGAGCAGTTTCTGGGCAAGGGGTCTGGCAGGGCTGGGGAGAGGAGGGGAGGCAGAGATAGGCAGCTAGAGGCCTCTTAGAATGTGCTCCCGGTCTCTTGGCTTGACAACTAGAGGTTGGTCCAGGCCATACAGCCAGACAGTGGCCAGGTTCGCTCAGCTGTGGACCCATCAGTGGCAGGAGGACCCTGGCTCAGGGCTCTTAGCTTCTGAGCTTTTGTCCCCAAAAGGCGACTATAAGGGACAGCCTGGACAGTGGCCTAGAGGAGGGGCCCGTAGGGAATGCAAGGGCTGAGCAGGGAAAAGGTGGAGGGCGTGTACTGGAAAGGCTCTGCTTGTAATAGGAGGCATGGTCTCCCAAGGACTGGATGAGGTGCAAAGAGGGCCCAAGCCCAGTGGTTAGCAGCCTGGCACTGCCCTGCAAGCCCTCAGGGCCTGGGAGATTTCATTGCCATGCTCCGAGGACCCCTGGGACTTGGGGTCCAAGTGTGCTCCAGTGGCCACTTGGGCAGCTCCCCCAACCTCTGCCAAGTTCCACTGAGGGACTGTGCCCTGTCCTCCACCCTCCCAGCAGCCCAGTCTGCACAAAGGCACGTGAAGGGGCACCCAGCTGGCTCAGAAATGTCTTTAATGACTCCAGCTCATGGCCCCTCCCCCCAGCCCTGGCTTTGTCCCTTGTGAGCAGTCAGCAGAGGTTCCCTGAGAGGTTCAGGATGGGGTCCAGGGAGCTCTGGCCTGGAAGGGAGGGGCCATCCTCTCTCCTTGTCACCTGGGGGAGGAGGGAGAGATGGGTCATTCTGCTTGTTCTGCCACTACCCACTCCTGTTCCCTCCCTGCCTCTGGTACCTTTGGTAGCTGCTGGGTGGAGGCTGTGGGAAAGGGCTCCCAAGCACGAGGCCTCTGGGTGCTACACATCTCACAGCCATGCCGGCTTGGGGCGTTGATGAAAGTGCAGGAAGGGCAGGACCAGCCGGGCTAGAGAGATGAGGACAGTGCTGCTGACCTCTTCCTTCCAATACCCAGAGCCGCCTGGGCCCACTCTGCCCAGTCCCTTGCCCACCTGAATCGGGTTGGGGAGACTGGAGCTGGCTGGTTGAGGGGCTCGGGGAAGCCCGAGTGACTGAGAAAACAGACGGCCTAGTTCCCCCTCCATCTTCTGAGGGCGCTGAAGATTGCGTCCTGCGGTAGAGGGGTGAGGCTCAGGACCGTGTCAAGCTGCACCCCACCTTCCTCATACCACCCCAATCAAGGACTGACCTGGGGCTTCTCGGGGGGCTGATAGCAGGTAGAGGAAAGCAGGGTCCCCGTCCCGCCGGACCCCATAGGAAGCGAGGCTGTACTCAGGGACACACAAGCGCCTCCCAATGACCCAGCGCTGCACAGATGGTGGGAAGCCGAACTCCGAGAACACCTGGGCCAGAGCATCAGTGTCACCTGGGGCCCCCACCCCCAGCAGGGGCCCCCAGACCCTGTGCTCACCTGCTCCTGGAGGGCCCCGATGGTGCGGTGGGGGTGGACCTGCAGCGAGACATGGGCAGAGGATGCAGCGTCTTCAACCGTGACCTGTAGTCTGGGCCAGAGTGTAGGTCAGGGGTCAGGATGTGGGACCTGAGCAGGTTGGGAGGTCAGGGTGAGAAGGAAGTCCCAGGCCTTACCTGATGGGGCCAGGAGGGAAGCAGGCCTCTCGGAGCTGGATACTCAGGGCCACGTGGTGCTGGGCCAGGAGAGCTGCTGCATGGGCTGCCCCCTTCTCATCCCCACCCTCTATGGCCCGGGTCAGGCGCCCTGCCAGCTCTTCTGCAGGGGGAGAGAGAGCCATCACAGCCCCACACGGGTTGCTTCCCCCGACCCCCTCCAGGCACCCGCCTTTACCTTTCTCCATTAAGTCTCCAGAGCTCCAGGGAAGATCCACCTTGGGTTGGGGGGCCTTGGGTGTGAGCACTTCAAGGGGACTGGGCAGGGAAACAGGGCCTGTTTCTGGGCCTAGGGCTGGGGGCAGGCTGTCATTGCCTAGGAGGGAAGATGTGTGGTAGGCTAGTGGTCTCCTGAGATTTAGCCTGGAGCTCTCTCTCCCTCCTTACCTCAGCCCATGCCAGGGCCCTGCCTTGGCCACACTTCAAGCCAGGCCTTCTCCCCAACCTCAACCCTTGCAAACCCCAGAAGTCCCTGCAGACTCCACTCAGAGCTGTACTTGGCTTTGCTTTGGGTTCTGGTCCCTTCTGCTGCCCAGTCTCACCTGTGCCCCTCCTCCACAGAGGCCAGACCACTTCTCTTGGCCTCTGCAGGCCCTCTCAGCCAGCCAGAACCAAAGCGGTCCTCAGAAGTAGCCTGCCCCTTCCTGCTCAACAAGAGCCCTGCCGTCAGGGTGGCCTCCTTTTGGTATCCCAGGGACCGCTATCCTCTCTCCTGGCTCTACCATCAGCACAGAACACCTTGGGCTGCTCCCACTCCAAACAAACCCTCTCCAGCTAATGCCTGCCCTGGGCATGCTGCTGTCTCCCCTTCTTACCTCCCACCTGAGGCCCAGCCCACACGGTGCTGATGCAGCTCCTTAGTGGTCTTAGGTCTGAGCTGTCTGCCGACTGAGATAAGCAGACCTCCCAAGCACCCAGCACCATGCCTGGACTGGCCTGAGATGAGCCCCAAAGGCCACATGTAGACTCCTGCCTTGGGCATTTTGTATGTACCTGCTGCTCGCTGGCCACATGGTTTACCCTACGATCTTTAAATTTCACTCATGTCACCTTAAAGAGGATTTTCCTACCACCCTATTTTAAATTGCAAACCCCTCCTTTCCAGCATTCCCATCCCTTCCACCATGTGCAGAATTTTATGTTACTTATTTTATGTCTGTCTCCCCTCTAGAAATATAAGCTCCAAGAGAGCAGGGGTTTGAAGTTTTATTCATGCTAAATCTCTAAGGTCTTAAAGGATGGCTTAGTATGGTGCTGAATACATGTATCTGGTGAACGAACAAATGAATGAATTAAAGAAGAAAGCCTTTCTCCTTCTGCAGATGCTACTGTCTGGATCTCTTCCATCTCACTGTGTGGTTTTCTTCTCACCCCTCTGTCAGCTCTTCTTCTGATGCATCTGTGGACTTCTTCCCTGAGGCACTGCCTGCTGGACCCAGACCCTATTCTTGCTTCTCTCTCTTGGGTGACCTTGGTTGACTATTTCTACCCCCAAGCTTTATCTCTTGAGTCCCAGCTCCAGCCCAGATCCACCTACCTCCCTTCCCTCCCACGTGTTTCAGAACTTGATCACTTCCATGCCCTCCCAAACAAGCCCTCTATCTGGGGTCTCCACAGTATCTGGTCCCTCCAGCTTTCTGTCTCAACCACTAACCCCTCCATTTAAACCCCCATGAAACCCAGCCAGTTCCATCTCTCAAGCATCTCTGGAAACATCCTTCCCTCCAGCCCTATCTGCACCACCCACACAAATGCAGGCCTCTACTAGTCTTAAGTAGTTCAAACCTGAGCCTGTTACTCTCCCACTGAATACCTGTCCCTTGCTGTTGATCTAGTCTGTCTTCTCACCCAGGTCCCGAAGGCATGCTTCTCTGCCCCTCCACACTTGTCTGCTACTCCAGGCTCCAGCTCTGTTCCTTTTCTCCCCTTTCTTCCTCCTGGAAGGCTTTCCAGAACCCCAGCAGTGGGTAAGGTGAGCCCAGCTTTCCCCACTACTTTCCCCATCCAGGCCAGCCACTGGGGCTTCTCCTCTTCTCGCCTAGAACTAATGCAGTCCCTGGCCAACCAAATGAATCTTCGCTCCAGGGAACTGACCATTCTGTCCTTCCACGGTGGCACCTCGGACCAGGGCTGCCCACCGCTCAGCTTCCTGAGGGTTGGCGAAGTGCAGGCTGAGAGTCCCAGGCCCTCCTGGTGGAGGCTGCAGCTCATGCTGGCTGGGGCCTCTGACAGTGTAGGAGACTGTCTCCAGGGGCCACTCCAAACTGACCTGAGGAGGGAGAGTCTAGGTTCAGTGTCTCTGCCCAGCACACACGACATGGTGATCAAAGGAAAACGAGGTAACGTGTAGACCACTTATACTGTCCTAAGCGCTTAACTTGTATTATCTGCCGAAACCCTCACAGTAGCCCTACGAAGGGAGGTACCAGCATTGTCCCCATTTTACAGCCGAAGAAACAGAAGCAAAGAATAGTTAATTGCTCAAGGGCACGCGACTGGCAAACAAAGGGCCGGGCCTCAGGCTCCGCGGCCAGGCCGCGCGCCCCCGCCGCTTCCACTCACCGCACCGGGCCCCGCGCCCAGCAGCTCCAGCCGGAAGCGCCCTGGTCGCTCAGGGTCCGCACTCAGCTGCAGCCTCCGCAGCTGCGCCTCGGCCTCCGGCCCCGCGCCCAGCGGCCGCACCGCGGCGTGCACCGCCAGAAGCACCGCAGTCGAGCCCGGGTCCGAAGCCGCGGCCGCGCCGCCCGCTGGCGGCGCCATCTCCGTCCGGCCCCGGCCCGGCCTCCCGAGCCCGCTTCCGTGGCCTCGGGCCGCTGAGCGCCTTCGCCGGCCGGAAACTGCGGCCGCGAGCCTGGGGTTCCGGGTGCCGCGAAAGCGTCGGAGCCGACTGACCCTCCCGCTTCGCCCAGGGTGAACACGGCCCCAGGGTCTCCGGGCACAGGTGGGCGAGGCTGCGCCTAGAGGCCTGTACGCCGGGCAAAGTGTCACGGACCGAAACACCGGCTACAAGTGGAAAGCCCAAGAGGCTCGGGCGGGTGCTGCGGCCCGGTGGTCCTTGCCGACCCCGCGTCCGGCCGGAGCTGGACGCCAGCCCCACCCGTTCAAGGCCTGCCTCCCTCCGGACGCTGGGCTGCCCCGTCCCGCCAGCCCCGCGGTTCGCTCCAGGGAACCCTGGTGGCCCCCCGGGGGCGGAGCCAACGATGGGCTGTGACCAAATGAGCGCCAGGGAGGGAGGCGGGCTCGCACGGCCGAGAAGAAGATGGACAGGCACCGCAGCCAGTAGGAGCGGAAGACAGGACTGAGCGGCGGGCAGTGCGCCCAATGGCTATGTGAGCTCTCGCCCCCGGAGGCTGGAGCGGGCCATTCAGACGTGTGGGGCTGGGCCTTGCGGACGCTTGTTGTTGTCTGGCCGGAGGAGGCAGAGGTCGTTCGCTCTCTTGCTCAGGCCTTCTGTGGCGGTCGGCGGGCAGGTCGGTCGCGATAGTCGGGCGCCGAGCAGGGGCGAGGCTATGTCGCGGTGGCAGCCCGGATGGGCCGGCAGGGCCGGGAGTAACGGGACGTCGCCGCGGAGCTTCTTCCCCCGGATACAGTGCGGCCCGTGCGGAGGCCGCGGCGCCGCCCTCCGGTCCTGAGGAGCCCGCGCTGCCCAGGGCCCGCACCGCCTTCTCACCCGCACCGACGCCAACCGACCTGATCCTGCCGGACCCAGCCAGGCCCGACTGAGCGCCGCGCAAGCAGGTAGGCGTACGCCCTGTGCCCGGCGCCGTTTCGGGGCCTCCGGAACTACAGCCCCCAGCAGGCTTCGCGCCGGCGCGCGTGCGCGCCTCCCGAAGCGCGGGCCTCCTAGGATTTGTAGTTCGCGGGGCCAGGCTGGGACCCGGCGGACGCAGGAACGCCCTAGGTACCTTGCTGACAGGCTCTCCTGGGGGCCGTGGGGCCTCCCTCTGCACCTTGTCGTACTTGAGGAGAAAAAGGGAAGAGCTCATGCGTTTCCTCTTCCCCTTACTAGACAGCCTCCTGTAGAACAGGGAAGAGCGCCGCGTCCAGGTGATCGCAGGGCCGAGCCCCAGGTGTCCTGGTTCCTCACCGGGTGCAGGTTCTTAGCCTGGCTGAGAGGCCTGGCCCGAGTTGGACTTAAAGAGTCGTGCCCCTTCGTGGGCTCACAGTGCCCCCTTGGTGGGTAGGACTCTCGTCGGGATGGGGAGTGTTGAGGGAGAGACCGAATGGGCAGCTCAGGGTTAGTGGGGACCCTGGTGGGTCCCCCCGCCTGCCCCAAGATCTCCTGTGAGGTGCAGGGAATGTGGCTGAGCTGGAGCCTTGCCACTCTCAGGTAAGGGGATCTCCTCGCTTCTCCTGCCAGTGCTGAAGGTCTGGGGGCAGGCTGCAAGAGGGACCTAACTTGTTTACAGGGGCCCCGCTTGCTGGGAGTGGGGCCAAAGGTGGAGTCCCAAGGGCCAGCTACCCATGGACTGATCTCTCATCCTCAGGCAATATTAGCCTCTTGGAGCACAAGACCCCTTCCTCAAGGACATGAAGCTGTTGGAGAACTCCAGCTTCGAGGCCATCAACTCGCAGCTGACGGTGGAGACTGGAGATGCCCACATCATCGGCAGGTGAGGCCGGGGCTCTAGGGGCTGGTGTCTCAGCGGTCACTTTGCCCTGGCTCTGAGTTGAACCTCGGGGTGGTATACTCCATGACCCTGCCTGCATCTCTAGGATTGAGAGCTACTCATGCAAGATGGCTGGAGATGACAAGCACATGTTCAAGCAGTTCTGTCAGGAGGGCCAGCCACACGTGCTGGAGGCACTGTCCCCACCCCAGACCTCAGGCCTCAGCCCCAGCAGGTGAGCGTGGGCAGGGCCCGCCCACTGGGGACTGTGGCGTGTGGGGCAGTGTCGGGCTGACACTTCTTTCTGTGCAGACTGAGTAAGAGTCAAGGCGGTGAGGATGAGGGCCCCCTCAGCGACAAGTGCAGCCGCAAAACCCTCTTCTACCTGATCGCCACACTCAATGAGTCCTTCCGGCCAGACTATGACTTCAGCACAGCCCGAAGCCACGAGTTCAGCCGGGAGCCCAGCCTCAGCTGGGTGAGGGTCGGGTCAGGGAAGGGACCTGCAGGCCCCGGGCTATTGCCAGTGTCCTCCCCAACTTACCATGGCCCTGCCCTGTTCATGCCTGCTGTCTTGGGTCAGCCCTGACTATGACCATCCTAGGTGGTGAACGCAGTCAACTGCAGTCTGTTCTCCGCCGTACGAGAGGACTTCAAGGCCCTGAAGCCACAACTGTGGAACGCAGTCGATGAGGAGATCTGCCTGGCCGAGTGCGACATCTACAGGTGGGCTGACATCCCTGCAGGTGGGCCCTGGGTCTGTGTGGCACTTGGGACCTCACACCACATCTCGCCCTGCACTCCCTAGCTACAATCCAGACTTGGATTCAGATCCTTTTGGGGAGGACGGCAGTCTCTGGTCCTTCAACTACTTTTTCTACAACAAGCGGCTGAAACGGATTGTTTTCTTCAGCTGCCGCTCTATCAGGTTGGCTGGCACCTGTCCACCTCCCTTCCCCCACCTTCCTGTTTGGGGCACACACCATTTCCCTAGCTTGGTCCACCCTATTCCTGACTTTGTCCTCCCGGGACATTCTCCCTGGAGTCAGCAGCAGGCCAGGATAGGTGGTCTTAAAGCGGGTTCCCTCACCTCCCCCAGTGGGTCCACCTACACTTCCTCAGAGGCAGGCAACGAGCTGGACATGGAGCTAGGGGAGGAGGAGGAGGAGAGCGGCGGTGGAGGCAGCGAGGGCGGACCTGAGGAGACCAGCGCTGTGGAAGAGGACAGGTGTGTGATGGCTGCTGTGGTCTCCCTCCCTCGAGCTTGGGGTGGGCAGGGTGGGGCCCCTTTGCCTGGTGTCCTGGGTATTGGCTCCTCAGAGCCCACTGTACGCCACCCTTTGCCCAGGGTCCCAGTGGTCTGTATGTGAAGAGGAGGAACAGAGGCCCCGGCTTCACCCAGCTTCAAACCGTCCCTGGACCTGCCCATCTGAGGGGCCCCAGGGCCTCCAGAGCCACTGGCCAGATCCTGCCGCTGCCACAGCACCAGCGCCGCCCAAGGCCACGCCTGCCTAGCCCTTTGGCTCTAGCCTGTGGATGTTCTCTCACTCCCATGGGCTCCTGCCGCCCGCGCTGTGGCTTGACTGGACAGCACAGGGCCTGGTGGGAAGAGCCACTGCCCTGCCCAGACGAACTTACACAGGCAGGGACGGCTGGACCACAGAGTTTATTTTTGTATTTTGTGCTGGGTCAGGCTTGGGCCTGCACAATCCAGCCCAAAGGGCTGGAGACCCAGCAGGCGGCCCCCAGGGGTCATCTGCCCACTTGTACCCCCCACCTTGCCCATTGGGCAGCGTGCACTGAGTGTCACTTTGCTGCAGCTGGTTTGTTTCCAATAAAAGTTTCTGTGACTTAGTGTGTTCCTAGGCTCCTGCGGTGTGGGGGCGGGGCCTGCGTTGGGGGCGGGGCCTGCTGCCTCAGGTATCCTAGCAACGGCCGCAGGGGCTGTTGAGCCGTCTGGACCTGCAGCTGCTGAAATGGAGTCGAATGTGTTGGATGCGAGCAACCCCTTTACAGCAGAAGGCGACCTCCTGCTTTCAGACCTGGACCTGTACGACGCTGACATCTATGATGTCCCGGACCCGGGGCTGCTCAAGGAAAGGAATGGTGAGGTGGCCTGGCCTCGACCCCTGTGGCGCAGGTCCTGTTCCCCGGGAACGCAGCCCTCCCGGGGCAGTCCCCTCACCTGGCAGGGCCCTCAGGAGGGCCCTTGGCTGCCCCCGACCTCCAGGGCTGGGGGTCCACAGCCAAACAGCGACAGGGCTTCTCCTGCTGGCCTGCAGAGTCATCGTTTTCGGAGCCGGCCCCACGGCTTTTTACCAGCAACTCACAGTGGCAGAACATGAGCCCGAGCGCCCGTGCCCGCCAGTTGTGGCTGCTCCTGCGTACAGGCCTCCAGAACTTCGTGGAAAAGGTGTGGCTTGCTCAGGGTACCTGGCTCAAGGCCTCTTTCCTGGCCTGGCTCTTCTACTAAGGGCCCCGGCAGGACCCCAGCCCTGATCCTCTTGGCTCCCAGAGGCGGGTGCACTGCTTTCCCCCAACCGCTGGCCCCAATGAGGTTGACTAAGGCTTGCTGGTCCTGGCCTACAGGAGAAGAAAGCTGAGTTGCGCGTGGCGCGTTTGACCCACGGGCTGGAGCCACTGCGCCGCCTGGAGGTGGCACCCGGGCTACGTTCGGTGGCACAGGACCCGGTGGGCCGACGCTTTGTGATGCTGGATGGTGCGGGCCACCTGCACTTGCACAGGGAGGACGGCTGGATGCAGAAGAAGCTGCTGGCTCCTGCTGCTCTCACGGGGCTAGTGACAGTGCTGGGTCCGCTGGGCACTGTGGGCCGCTTTGTGGGCTGGGGCCCAGTGGGTCTGGCCATACTGAGATCTGACTTCAGCTTACTGTGGCCGAGTAAGCCAGGGGTGCACAGGGTGCCAGGCTGCGAGCCCATCTGCTGCCTGCCAGTGCCCGATCTCGGGCTGCTGCTAGTGGCCGAGGCAGATGGCAGCCTGGCGCTTTGGAAGTTCCGTTCAGGTGGCCGCCGCCTGGTTCCGCACAGGTCACCTCTGCAGCCACTGCCGGGCCAGGCAGGTGCACTTGCGCGTCTGGCTCTGGGGCCTCAGCCTCCCCATCAGGTCCCGTGCTGCTTCGCAGCCTATGGCTCAGCCGTGCTCACCTTTGATCTGCAAGCCTGGGTTCTCATAGATGTGCGTCAAGATCTGCACAAAACGTGAGGGGGGCCCAGGGACGGGGGACTCATGAGGCGAGTCTGCGAGGGAAATCCAGTCATGGCAGGGGTGCAGGTACACACACACAAGGCGGTGCTAAGTCCGCCGGGCCTCCCTCTCACCCCTCAGTACCATCTGCGACCTGGCGTACTGCAGAGATGTAGAGGCCATGGTGACAGCTTCCCGGGACAGCACGGTGAAGGTGTGGGAGGCTGACTGGCAGATCCGGATGGTGTTCGTGGGCCACACAGGTGCGGTGCGCTGCTCCACCATGGCTCTTGAGGCCTGGTCTCCCTCCACCTTGTGCACAGCCTTCTGCCTTAAGGAGCTCTGGGCATGGAATTCCTTGACTCCTGGCCATGCTGCTCCTGGCCACCACCCTGACTGACGGCTCCCCTTCCTTAGTCCCTGATGTGCAGTGACCCGCATCCCTCCCACAGGCCCGGTGACTGCAGTGGCTGTGCTCCCCAACACAACCCTGCTGCTGTCAGCTTCGCAGGACGGGACGCTGCGCACATGGGACCTGCAGGCAGCGGCGCAGGTGGGCGAGGTGGCGCTGAGCTGCTGGGGCCGGGGCGTGTCGTCCGAGAGCGTGAACCGCCTGCTGGCCCCGCGGTCCTGGG